AGGTTCCTTGTGACTTAGTCACCTCATCTTATTACTTTAGGAATGTGTACTTATTGTTGCTAATTTGACGTTATGAAGTTTAGTACAAGATGCACCATCAAAGAATCTGAAAGCCCGTCAAGCCAGAACTGAAGATGCATTAATTAATATGTTCAAGTAAAGACAGCCTGCACTGAAGTGTATTGTGTGGCACTCATTATGGGTTATGATATGCACCGTTTAGCTGAATGCAAAGATCAGTCCAGTCCAGCAATGAGTCCATTTGAGAGATGTGTCACATTAAATTGCATACATTAAGGGCATATCAGTGGACCATAGAAAGCCAACTCCACATGGAACTGTTGGTTTACCGCATCTCATAATGCACGTCCTTTGGCTCTGAAGGACAAAGGCAGCCAACCAGAGAAATCCCTGTGCTTGACAAGCTAGCTTGTAGTAATGTCATGTATCAGCATTAGTTTACTACATCTAAATCAGACTGATAAAAGCCATCTAAGTTCTCAAGAATCTGTCCGGCCTCCAGATGAGTGCTGGTGTAAGTATAGATGAGAGAAGGAGGGTTGCTTTTGATTTTAGGCAAATTCGCCTGAACTGAAACTTTTATAAGGTTTGAGTTTACATTTAATCAAAAAATGGGAGTGAATGTTAGCTACTTTATTATAACTGCTAAAGCTTGCACTAAACAAGAAACATTTTATGTCCCAAACTTGCTCAAACATTAGATGAAACGTTGAAACTGATCCATTGGAGCTGGAGAACTGCTCTACAGTCACCTCCATACTGCACCCCATTACATGCACGTATGCACATATACCATATGCAGAGCAGAGTTTTTCACACTTGAGCATACAAGCTTACCATCTGATCAGCCATCAGTGTCATGTCTTTGTCTCAGTCTGCATTGTGCAGCAAAGCAATCTGAAGGAATTCAGTGTGCAAAAGCCTTTGCTATGCAGAGGAAAATCATGCTTTCAAAACAATTTTTATTATTTCATTCATGAGCAGATGGATACTGCTCGTAACATTATTCTGAACAATACAGCCACATACATGATCCAAAATAAATAGAAGAGAGGAAAGAAAAAGTTTTCCAAAGACCCATTAATAACTGAAAATAATCGCATTGTCATTAACTTTAGGAGCAAGTGACACATTGATTAAAATCTTAACAAGTGAATCTGCCTCTTTTTTTGTGAATGGTTGACTCCTCAGGCTCAATAACAGGCTGAAATCAGCTCTTGGCCTCACGGATTAGGCAGTGTAGGAAAAGAGAGTAGGTGGGGAACACTCGTGATTCTGTCCTCTTCAACTTTAATCAAAATTACACTGACGTGCTGCAGCCCCCCTCCATGTCTTTCATAATAATAGACCGCTAAAAATTCAGAAGGCAGGCTCCACATCAATCACTCGCCAGATTTGAGTCCAATGCAATAAATATGTAAATGAGGAGAAGCCAATGTCTCGTAGCTTTGAGATCAGCGCAAGGAGGGAAAAAAGGAGAAAACTGTATTAATTGCCCATGGCCAGAGGAATCCTATTACTGTGGGCATTGATTATAAAATTCTATGTGTGAATGATTTTCATGCAGAAACTGGAGTACCAAGCCTCAAGCATAAAGTGAAGAAAGAGTCAAATTTGTGAATTGGGCTAGATTGAGAAAGGGGCTAAAAAGAACAGCAATGAGAAAAATACTAAATTTAAGTTCAAATCAAATAAGGATCAGAAGGATTCATCTCAAATTGCAGTAGATTATTAGTACATGGTAGCATTTATCTTATTGTTTTGGGTTTTTCTTTTCTTTTCTCGGTTTTCAGGTGTTTAAATTTTGATACACAGGATGTAAGATAGTTATATTTGTTCACGCTAAGTCTTCATAGGTGACTGTATTATTCTCCTTGAGAAGAGACTAAAAAAAACTTTTGATAATTGGTCCAACAAACTATGCTGATTCTGTCTAAGAACATTGTCTAGTCTTGTGAAGAACAATAAAGATACTATAGCTGCAGGCATCTAACCAAGCTGCTGATACCCAGCTCAAGTGTCAGGGCATAATAGGAGTCAAACAGTCCATCCAGTCAGCGGTAGGCAGCTAATTAGCCATCAGCTCTTTTGTGCATAAAACATACCCGATATATAAAATACAGTTCAGATTTCCTGGACACCAGGTTCCATGATTGCTTGCTTGATTTGCTATGTTTTTCAGGACACTTATGAAAGCAGTTAAATTGGTAGGTAAGTGCACAAATCAATGCTTAGAGGTCAATTAAGTCTTATCCCCCCCCCCCTCCTCCCTCTCTCTCTCATTGTCAGCGAGATTTAAATTGATTTGCTGGTTTCACGTTTGACTTGCAAATCTTTCTCTTCATCAAGGTATTTTGTTGAGATTATAGGGATTACGTTTCCAGCATAACATTATCTGCTACAGCAAACGGGAACGTGTAAATGTTGTAAATTTCAGTTAATTAGCAGAATTCAAAGATCAATATTAGCAAAAAATATAATATTGTGTATTAGGGGCATTTTCAGACATGCTTTAAGTGGTAAACTTTCTACCAAATTACACTGAATGGCCAACTGATGTTAAGTTCACCATCATGATTAGAATTTCTTGCACACATAGTACGAGGGAGAGCAGAGCAGGCCAGCAAGAACAGCAGTACTATCTCTCATGCTAAGCTGAAATGACACGAGAGCACATTTAAATGACATAAATAAACTCTGGATTGCATCTCAGAGCCCTCACACTGCAGCATTATCTGCTGAGGATTACATTTCTATATCAAGTAGCTGTACATTTCTACAGACAGGTAACAAATTAAAGGTAAGGTGCTGGGCTAGAGCAGCTTCAGTGCACCTGGCAATGCTTCTGCAACTCTCAGAATCCTTACTACAACACTATTCTTCTCTCATTTGGTGTTTTTAGTGTTTGGTGAACAGTACACTGGGCCACAATCTTCTACAGGTGTTCAGTTGGGGATAGCATATGTTTCAGCCCCTACTGCCCTCTGGAACATTGTCAATTCAATCGCTGATTCTGAGGGAGAATTCCCTTTACAAACTCAAACAGCACCAGGAAAACAAACCCCCAGTAGCATAACACTGCCACCAGTTAATATTACTGGAGAGGTCAAGAGCTCAGGTTTGTGCTACCACCTGCCTCTTCATCAGTGTCCTAAACTTCTTCACCTAAGGAAAATGTTATGACTGGAACAATTTCAATCTTTTATAGGATTTTCACTGAATAATTCAAAATTTGAGTGTTATTAGAGGATATCACATGAACATTTTACTCTTTTGGGGGTTTTTTTCTCCGTTGTTATGATGCAAATAAAGTTACTACATGGGGTTCTACACTTGATAAAGGGTTATGGGTGAATAGGAAGTTAAGCATAAGTGAAAATACCATTTAGCATTAACTTTACCAACTAGCAGCAGGCAACACTGATACTAACCTTGACAAGTTGCACGTATTTATAAGAAAATCTCGATGAATATTGAACATTAGGATGTTATCTAGCTCTTTTAGCAGGTTAAGTTAAGCTCATCATCATAAGCTGGTATATACATGTGTCTGGTTAAGCAAAAAACATGCCCAGTTATGTCAAAGTCCATAGTTTTTATCACATCCTTTTAATAGTGTTTAAAAGCACAAGTTGCCTGCTATGAATTTTTTGGGGGAAATGACGCTGAATGTCACTCTTTTAACATTCAGCGTAACATTTCGCAAAGTTGTAACGCAAAAGGGAGACTGAACTTGTTTTTTTCAAACACATCAGTCTAATGCAAACCATATTAACAATTGTGCAACTCTCTTTTCCAGCTTCAGCTCCACATTTTCTCATATGTCTTTTTATAATATTTTGTGATCAGGTTGACATTTGTTAGCCACTGTCAAATCTAATCTTCAACTTATAAACATGCCTCTAGATACACTGGAGGTGGATGATCCATCCCCATGTTTTCCTGCAGTTTATGCCTTGTGACATTGCTCGTCTCCTCTACCCCTCCCCCAATCAGCTCCACTGATCTGCTCCTTCAGTCTCCCGCTTCACTGCTTACTGATCCACTATGCAGCGTCCTGTCCCCTTTTATGATGCTCTCACCTTTCCCTGGCTTGAAAATAGTCACTCTGTCATTGGCCTGTTAATGTTGCAACATGTCACTTAGCTGGCATTAGAGAAAGGCTCATTGTTTATTGCCGGCGAATCCAAATACGTGCTTGCAGCTCTTGAATTATCAAGAAAACACCTAGCAAAGTAACAAGTGCCAAAGATTTTATGAAGCTCCTTTGCATAACACAAGGAAAAACCAACATATATACAGTATGTAATGTGAGTTGATAACTTTCTACTTAAACATTGTGTCTTAGGCTCACTGAACATAACTGGGGGAAAGAAGATGTTAATATATTGACAATGCCAATTAGATAATGCTATAAACACATTAGCACAACAGCTCTGATTTTGGTGAATCTATAGTAAAGTTTCAAAGAGACGTTTTGTATTTCCTCCTAGAATTTCACTTAGTCATAATTTTCCCGATTTAGCAGAACAGTGAGCACTCAGTGTCATGGCAAAAACCGTAAATTATGGCAATGAGTAGCTCTTCACAATCAGTGTAACAGATTAAGCTAAGCAACTTTACAATGTCTGTTATAAATATACAAGTACTTTTGAGCTGAACTCTTTTAGCGGTTATGCATTATTGCTGATGTTATTTAGAACTTATTTCTAATCTTGCAGCAGTTTTTAAGCAGTTGCTGACACTTTGGCTTCTTCATCAGACTCCATAAGAGTGTGTTTATTAAAGGACAACAAAAATATTTTAAATGCACATTTGTACACTAAAAGGATTCCCTCTGGTAATCTTTTTGGTCTATTTAAAAATCTCAAAAGATTACATACATGTTAACAAATCCCTGTTCAATAAACATTCACAAAATCAGGAAAGACTGAAAAAGGAATTCCCATCATTTCCCCCAAAAGTGATAAACAAATAACAATCATCAATAGGACTTTTATTATACAGCATTGTGATGCCTGTTTCACAAACCGGATAAGAAAGGTCAAGTATCTCATGGAAAAAAAGTCGTCTGTGGAAAAGTGAAATACTATCGTTATAAATAATTTGACATTTTAAAGACAAAAGCCGTTTAAGTCTTTAGAGGTGTTTTTTGTTTTTTTTTTACAACTGAAATGGCAGGATTTGCGATGTCCTTTCATTTGGCAACAGTTTATTGTATTTTCAGTATTTTTTGAGGTATGCAAAATAGCATAGTGAAATAGTAGCATTAAATGGGTTGCCATTTAATTTCATTTATTTCATTCTGGCATTTCATTTAATGCCAGAATGAAAATGTTTAAAACAACTCAAAATCAACCCTCTGAACACTTGAGTGTCACATAAACAATTGACTCTTCCATCCATTATTGCCCATTATTATACATACTGTCAGGTTGGACTCATATCATGTCACAGTCAAATCATTTTCTACTCATGTAAATGTTCAGATTAAAATGGCAATACTTTGAAGGCAAACACATGCTAAACAGCAAATTATTCATAAGAAAGGTGTAGCGAAACAAAAAACAATGCAATGTTTCCGCAGTCCTGAGAAATGTTTTTGGTCAGATGTATCACGTTCATGATCTGTAATCAGCGGGTGGTTCATGTGTAATACATGAACATGAATATTACACACAATCTCATACTTGGAATTTGTAAGTTGGCTGAAACACTGAAAGGTGATAAAACAAATACAATCACACAGTTCATATTTGAATTTTAAGGTCAGTTTCATCATATACAGTGCTGTGCAAATTTTAAACATATCAAAATGTGAATGTTTTTAGAAATGACATTGAAATCTGACATTTTATCAATTAACTTTGCATAAAGTGCACTAAGCAGAAAAAAAGTTTCAAATTAATACTGAGTATGACCACCATTTTCCTTTAAAAAGCACAAATTCTTATGGGTGCACTTACCATTGCTTATCAGGGTACTCTTTTTTTCTTTCTCCCAGCCATTTTGAATGTATGGTCACGATTCTTCTTTGCATTTAGGCTGGTCTCAGTTGTTTCCATCGCTTCTTGCTATCTTAGACTGATATAAATACAGCACAATGAGACGAGGGATCTCTGTGGGCCATAGCATCTTGCAGAACTCCTTGTAGTTCTTGTCACTGAAGTTCTTTATGACTCTGTGTGAATGTTTGGGGATATCCATTGCCTTGTCCATCCATACATCCATCTTCTTAACTGTCTATTCCAGCTAGCATGGGCCAAAAAACTGAATACAGAATGGGCTTATGGCCAGTTGATATTCTTGTATAATGGATAAAGAATATAAGCATTAAATGTGCTTAAAACCTTTGCACAGTACTGTACATGACAGAAAAGGTTTTGTAAACACTAAAATACGATTCAGCAGTATTAATGTATTTGTTTATTGCTTAGTCAGTGAGGCCCAGCACTGCGAACCTATTAACGAGCCAATTCACACAGATTATTCCAAACTATCTAATACGTGGCCCGTCAATAAATAACCAACATAAAAATAAAAAAAGCATAATGAAATACAATAAATAAATAAATAAATAAATAAATAAATATTCATAAATAATTATAAATAAATAGCTGATATATGAAATAAAGTTAAGGGTTTGCCTTCAAACTGCATTTGTAGTATTTCGGTCTTAGCCTGATTACCAAACAGTGCCTTCACTCATTTCTGAAGAGGGCTGTGACAGCTGGTTGGTGTATCCGTTGTCACTGAGAGAAACAGTGGTGAAGGGCGTGCTGGGGCCACACATTTCACTGGAGATGCTGTGAATTGAACTTGGTCCATTGGGCTCCGGACTTGGTGAGTCCACGGGATGATGAGATAATGTATCAGAGAAACACTGAACCTCTCCGGGACAGTGGTGCCCAGGATGATGGTGGTCCATGGCTCCTAGTGGAGTGCCAGCCGGGACTGTGGAGGGCACAAAGCCCAGGTCTGCTGGAGTCTGTGCTTGCGATAATGGTGGGCCTTGAAAGTACTCATAATTCCCTCCTGAGCCATAGTATTCACCAGGATATTCTGCACTCATATGAACATAAGGATTAGTGCATTGTGTCAGAATTTAAAGAAAGAATAGTAGTGGCTTTTTTTATGTATCTTGAATTTTTACAATTTGGTCAAAAACAGCATTGATTATAAGATTGTATAAGGTTCATTTTATTGATTACAGCTAATGCATCAACCTGAAAAAGCATAGATACTTTGTACCATATTTGCTTATTTATCTGTTTGTTTTGACAGTCTTAAAACACTAAATCTTAATCATTATTTTATATAGCTCACCTCCATAATAAGAAAAGTGTCCAAGCTCTCCTGGTTCCACTCTCTCTCCCAGGCCTCTCATTCTCCTCGGGTTGCGGAAAAACACGTGTCTCCGAGCGCTTAGAGCGCTCAGCTGTTTCATACGTCTCTCTTTGGACCTCCGATTTTGGAACCAAACCTTTAAGATAGCAGTTCAAAAACAAAGAGCATGAATTATGAAGTGTGGCCAACAGCTTTTTGAAATAAGGGCGACAAATTGCAGTTGGATGATTTGGATGACGATGATTAGAAATAAATCAACCCAAAATAATGACAAGGTCTTTATAAATTGGGGTAAGGTTTTAGTTGATGAGAAAAGACACAAAAATTAACTTTTTAGGTCACTAAAAATATAATTTATAGCATTTTTAAATTAGCATTCAAGATGTATCCGTGCGACACGATTTTTTTTATTATTATTAAGGGGCCTTTTAAAATGCCCATGGGCATCATGAGTCCTCTGTGATGTTAGGGACGCACTGGGCGCACAGATTAAGGAAAACCCCAAATGAGAGGCGGGGGAAAAAATGAAAATCAGCAGAGCATATATTGTACGTGGGTGCTTGCAAGCGCCACCAGCCACATTGCTTTGTTGAGTTGCCTACATCAAAGGCTTTATTCTCTGTAACACTAGTGCCTTGGTGATTGTGTTACTGTCACTTTGTGTGAGTCTGTGTATGAATAAAAAAACAGTAAACTTATAGTTATCTGGGGTTTTTTTTTCTTTTTCTATATTTGTTGCTTTTACCTGGATGACTCTCATGTTGAGACCCGTCTCCCTTGACAGCTGCTCTCTGATGTGCCTGGTGGGCTTCGGTGTGGCCGCAAAAGCCGCTTTCAGGGTCTCCAGCTGCTTGGCTTTTATAGTGGTCCGAGGCCCGCGTCGCTTTCCGACGGCGCTCTGCTCGTCGTTCTCGTTGCTGCACGTGTCTTTATCCGATAAATGCCCGTTTTCTGACTCCTTCCCGTCGTCCTGCGGGTCCTGAGAGTCCGGAGACAGACTTGGATCGCTGCACGTCGTTACTGTAATCAGAATAAGACAATCAGAAAATGCCACTACTCTAGGCTAAATATTTATGAAAAGTGCACCTCAGGAATCTTTTTTAAAAAATAAATAAAATACTCTAAATAATAATAATAATAATAATAATAATAATAATAATAATAATAATAATAATAAATCACCTGAAAGGAGGATTGTGTCTTTCCCAGAGTTGTTTTCATAGTCCTCTTTGCAAACGAACTTGAATTCGTCCAGGATATACAGTTCCTCTCCGGTGGACAGCTGTTTGTTACACATCACACAGGTGAAACAGTTCAGGTGAAACACTTTGCTCTTGGCTCTGCGGACTAGATCACTGGGTAAAATCCCCTGCGCGCATCCAGCGCACTTGGTTCCAAATTTCCTGTTCAAGAGGGAGAACCAAAGTCAGGGAAAAGTTTCGGCACAGACGTGATATGTTGGTCTTAATCTAGGAGAACACCTTTACACCTGCTATGACTTTAGGCCCAGTTTTGACAAGTTTGTGTTGTTTTTACAAAACAACCCCCCCATTCAAACTACCGGAAACTTAGTGTGTTGTAGTCAGTGAAATTACCACAGTCAGTTTTTCACAACTGTAAGATTTGAGCAGAAAGTAAAAATGCAGTTGTCTAACTAAACAGGCTAAACACAAATATTAGGTACAATTGTAAGATATTTTCCATCATAATAATCACAGGAGCTGTTAGGGTTAGCTTCACTTTCAAAGAAGACAGAAAACCGAGAATTAAACGAAAAGAGAGAAGAGAAAGATAAGACGAGGAGATAAAATAACAGCAGACAAGCGTGTCCATTGTATAAAAACATGGTTAGTTGCAACCACTGGAATGCATTTTTAACCTGTTTTTAACTGACTAAAAAAAAACCCCAAACCTTTTCTATAAATACTAAACCACAAACACTGTCAATTCTTACCTAAAGAAATCATTCTTGCAATACAGTTTCCCTTCTCGAGAAAAACACTTCTCTGTCAAACTACATTTGCAGTCGCAGCACTGGACGCATTTGATGTGCCACGGTCTGTCCAAAACTTTGAGCAAGAACCTATCGAGAATAGGTTTTTCACAGCTGGCACACTGAAGCATTGTCTAGACTTATTCCCGCTCCAGTGTGCGAGTGCGAAATCAACTCTTCCTCTTCTCTTCCGTCCCGCTCACCTAGATATGGATTCGCTTTAGTGCATATAATCCAAAAGATCCAGCTCATCCGAATTATTCGCATCGATTAGGTCGCCATCAGTGAGAGTAAAAGTAGTTGTTTTTGTTTGATTTTTTTGTTCCACAGGGCAACAATCCAAATTCAGTCTTTTGCTCCAAATGAAAGATCAGCAGTTGAAGACAAACTGGTATTTAAAAAAATATGTATATATAATAATCACTGACTGGAGATCATAGCGGGCCGTGAAGATGATCCGAGGTGTGCGATTTCAGGACATAAAAAAAATAAGCTATTCATAAATATTAAAATAATTCACTGCGAAAAATCCGCAGTTGGCTAAAGTAGAGAAGAAGAAAGAACAACAATAAAATGCTGTCTGTGCGCTTAGTGTGGTCATATGTGTCCCATTTTGCCTCTGACGAGCTCTCTCTGAGAGAGACGCTGTAATGAGCTCACCTAGCGGAGCTCAGCCTATTGCCTATTAACAAACCTGTGACGTCAGCTTCAGGGGTGGAGGATGAGGGGATTTCATTTCAGTCCGCCACAAATAACTATTTAAGTTACAGAGGTGAAGCATCATGGTTACAAAATAAAATAAAAGGAAATAGAAATGTGGCGGTAAAAACTACAGGAAACCTCAATATGTTTTAAAGCCTTTTTATTTCTTGGAAAATTGTTAAAAATAAATTTTCTAAAAGCAGATTTTAGTGACGGATGTCTAATGTTAACACCGCAAGCTAAAAAGAAAAGCTCAAACTAATATTTAAAAGAAATTATAGTTACGAATAAATAATATAAAATAATAAGGAAAGTGGTTCACTTTACAATAATAGTCTTTTTTATGACTGATATACATTTCCTCTGTAGAATAGAGTGCTGAGAGTCCGTGATAATGTCACGTGAATAAATGATTTCCTTTGGAAAAGGCCGGAGAATAAGTCTGACTGAATCAGTGGCAGGTGACAAATGATCAGCAGGTCTATCCCAGCAGAAAGGCTGTGGGGAGAGGACGTGCTCAACACAGTCTTTTCACACAGACCGACGCTGTGGCCCTGCATTATTCTTCATTGCATTGAAATGACTGGGAACACTAATGGTTATAATCTGTGGCGATAGGCTGCCTCTTATAGATGCTATCTCACCATGTTGGTACACTGGGGACGAAGATAGCGCATTTTCTCATACAAGCTTCGGGTTCTGCTGGGCCCTGATATCCGATGTCCCGATATGTAGGTTGAGCTACTATATATATAATATATTATAGTATATAATATATATTATATATATTATATATATAATATATATTATATATATACTTTGAAGATTTAAAAAAACTTCTTTTTTTAAAAATTTCGTTTTTAAAGCCACACTTCGGATTTTCTCTTGACTTTTTTCTTCTTTTTAAGCAAGGTCACATCACGCCTGACGTTTTACAACTCGTAATTTTATCAGTCATTTTTATCAGAGTCCACTGTATTGATTTACAACGTCTCCACATTTCTTTGACACTTAAAGTCATTACTTTAAAATTCTGCTTTTAGCACAACTAATGTGGATCTCAGTTATTGACAACCAGTCAATCAAGCAGAATTGTGATGGGGAGTAGGGGGTTATTATTGATTCATTGAACAAACTATGTACACATTTACTTAGTGTACGGAATTAAAATCAAGGGATTAAAGGGCCTATCTAATGCTAGAATTGTGTGCATAAAGCAGATTTGTAGCATATCGTGAATCGTTATCACTATTTTCAGGCTGTGGTCTTATTGATAAACTGTAAATGCTGATTAATTAAGAGGATGTGTTTTAAATTATGAATTTATCAGCTGATTCACTCATCAGGCCTTACACTTTACACAAAACCATATAGGAAGATGGCATCAAAACATTGCAAGTAAGACAGTGCAGAAAGGACAGTCTCTCAGTGGCACTGTAAGTATGTGATTTATTATTATTACTTTTATTATTATTTTAAAAGCAAAAATAAGCACCCACTCAACAATAAATTTGTTTTCACATGTTTTGAACTGTTAAACTAAATAAAGATTTCTCATAAGTTTATTCTGTTAGTAAGTTTGCTCCCAGAAGCTTTGGTGTAATAGTGGATGACAACAAAAAGACCAGAGGGAAGCTGGAAGCTGGATACATGTTTCCTTAGTGAGTTTGGTTTCTCCAGGGAAGGTGTTGATTAGAGGCCTGGCCCATCATTTGGCCCCAGCACCACTTATACACACGAGAGGTCTCTGTGCAGCGTTGGAATCTGCCAGGGTGTGCACTGTTTGTTTTGGAATGAAAAAAGCAAGTCATTAGTGGTTGTTAATTGCAGCTAATTGGCCCTAACGAGATGAACAAGGCCACCCACTGGGACCACTCATACAAATAATTTGTAGAAAACAAAATTAATTACTAGATGCTAATTAAAGTCAATTAAAACTGACTAGGCAGTGGCAGAATGGGAAGTGACAGACATAAAGAAAATACTATGCAGCACACAATAAGGCATGACAAGCATATCTGCAGATTAAAGAGATTCCTAATGTGAAGCGGGATAACTTTACCATTTTGGTACCTATGCTGAATGGTGCTTAATGGTCTGCTTTGTTCAGTCAGAACAGCTCATAAGTGACATCATGATAACTGCCTGGCCTTAGCACTAGAACAGGGATTATACGTGGCAAGAGTTCAGTTAAGAAGAGATGGACTCTAGCCAACCGTCCATCTGTCAATGAATTCAATAAATCACAGCAAGAAGGTCCTGAGTTCCACTCCACCACCTTTCCAGGACCTATCTGTGTGGAGCGGGCATGTTCTCTTCGTGTCTGTGTGAGTTCTATGGGGGATATCCGTCTCCTCCCACAGTCCAAAGACATGCAGTCAGTGGGATTAGGTTATTTGGTGGTTCTAAATTGCCCGTAGGTGTGAATGTGAGTGCGATTGTGCATCTGTCTATGTTAGCCATGCGTCAGGCTGGCGATCTGGACAGGCTATACCCTGCCACTTGCCCTATGGTAGCTGGGATAGGCTTCAGCCCCATCCCTGTGACCCTGACAAGGATAAGCAGAAGAGAATATGGATGGACAGGCTTAGTTTAAAAGAACAATTCCAAAGTTGTGAAACTTAGCTCAACAGCCTAACTGAACATTTACATTACTCAGCTGATGTTTATTAGAACAACAAAGAGAAGCTGTCTCAGTCTACATAATTGTCAGTGTCAATGTCAGTTCTATTTTATATAGAACATTTCATTACATGTAGAGTCAATATACTTAATATAATAGATAGAAACATAAAAACCTATATAGGTCTGCAACGCTTTAAGGTAATAAAAACTACAAGCACACCACACACACACACACACACACACACACACACACACACACACACACACACACACACACACACACACACACACACACACACACTAGTAGCAGATGAAATCCCTCTCCTAATGCCCTTCTTGTCTTCTGTGGACAATTTAAGTTTAATCCAATCACGATACTGCAGTCTGTTACTAAAAAGGCATCTCTATTTGTTAGTTCACCTTGATAGGTTAGGGTACTGCAGCAAAACACTTGGACTTAGAAAAAGTAAATAAGACATGTACAACACATATCAAGCACTATATAAGAACTTTTCCATCAGCCATGCGTGTATATTAGTAAACCACGTAAGAAATCCTGATCTGAGCCAACACTTCTTTGAATCATTTGCACCCAAACTGAACATTGTGTAGGAGGAGGTATTATTAGGTTTTTGTATCAGGCTCTATCCCTAACATGCCTAACAAGCCAGGTTTCATGAAGCACTGATCTTTAAACAGTTTAAAAAATGTTTATTATCAGTTTCTGTCAAAGTACCTTCTCTAGTTTTAACCAACTAACCTCAAATACTTAAAAAAAAAAAACAACAACCCCAAAACAAACCCAGAGAAGTGTGTTTTACCCTGGCACTGTCTTGATATATCATTTTTCACCATGGGGGTAATTTCCCAAGCCAAATCTTGAAGCTTTATAGAAAAAATAGTCTATATATATATTAATGTAATGTAAATATTCTCTTTTGTTTTGTTTTTTTTTGGAAAAAGAGAAATTTGATAGATTTTCTTAAAGTAAAAACCAGTGAAAACTAACCAATGAAATCTCATGCTCAAGCCAGTGTCATTTGTATTTAGATTTTTTCCTCTCATGCACAACACTGGAGTATCAAAGGCTGGTCAAAATTTGAGTGATGTCGAGTGGAGCAAATGTTAGGGTTCAAACAGCATCACATTGTTTGCATGATTGTGAGGTAGTGCAAGCAATCGCACAGATTGGGAAACCTAGCCTGTATGAGGGAAGACAGAGTGATCTGCCTCGGGGGCCGTTCAGTGAGAGGGCCCAAGGGACGGAGTGCCTACGGCCCTGGTGATGATGGTGATTGATGCTGGCACAATTCAGACACCCCAGACGCTGCAGCAAATTAAAAGGCTATTTTGTAAAGTTGTAAAGGAGCACAATGGTGGAGGGGAAGCGATGAGCACGCCCTCCCCAGCTCTTCTGTCATACCATCAGCTTCTGTTTGGTTTCCTTGGTGTCATCAGTCCCCTAGGGAGGTGAGCTATTACAAGCCTTTCATGCTCACTCGTACTGGATACACTGCTGATGCTCCTTGTGCGCATATGGAAGTATGTATGAGTATATGGCAAGAAGTGTACATAACAACTCCTTGAAACTATGGTTTTATTCTTTTTTATTCAAAGTCTTTGTTTATTTTCTCAATGCTTCACCAGTTATGCAACTTTTGGTATTATATTTTATGTTCACCTGTGAAGCACAGTGTGACTTGGTTTTTCAAAGGCAGTAATGAAATAAAGATTGCTTGAGAATTACTTCCTTACTATGGGTCATTGGAAGAAACACCCACGGATGCTTGCTGTGAGTACTTTTTTACGTGAAAATGAAAGCAGCACTGCTGCTAACTCTATTGTCCATTAATTCCTTATCTGTACATGATTTACAAATCATTTATCCTTGGTTTGAATTTAATTGACCCAGCTAACCTCAGGATGCACCCGTTTCTGGGTGTGTGTCGTGCTTCTGTCTGTGTGAGTGTGGGTAAAGGAGATAGACAGACTGTGTCAGGCTATAGGAAGAGCATCTTTCGGGGAGGAAGACTCACATGCCAGAGGTCAAACCAGTGTCAAGTGGGGAGTGAGGCCAGCTGAGCTGCCTTGGCCCGTGCATTGTGCTCATCAATGCAGCTGCTGTCAGTTATCAAGAGTGTGCGCCGGGGGTGGGGGTGCAGCCTGCTTTGATAGAGAGAAGCATGCTTGTGTGTAAGTCTAAGGGGGAAGCGGACGGAGGATTGTTGGAGCTTGAGGGCATATGGACCTACAGGACCAAAAGCTCTCTTTTCCATGCAACACATGGCAAGTCTCTCACAAGCAG